TGGGAGGAGATCCAGGGAGGGCCAAAGATGGAGGCCATCCGGACGAGCGGAAGAGTTGATGCTCTGGGAACCCAGGTCCCAGGGGAACAGAGCAGCTGGGCTTGCGGGCAAGGAGTCTGCAGACAGGGCTTGGATGAACAGTACTCACACTCCCTAGGACTCAGGCCTTGAATAAGGAAGGCCTCCGGTGCAGCTTAACAAAGCCTGAACAATGGGCTGGACAGCCATGTCCCTCCATCTCACAGAGAGCGAGACTAGAGCCAGAACGGCGACAGGGCTGTGGCCTCATGGCAGTGTATGTGCTCGGGCATCAGGCAATCCTCTAGGAGCTTTACTGAGGTTATGCAATGACTACACCTTGTCTGTGAGGCTCATTTGTTTATTTCCAACTTGCCATTGAAGTAAACTAAGACATCTGATCAAGGTCAAAACTCACTGAATCACTGAGCCTTTGACTTTGTGGCCATGATCTCACCTCTGAGCTGTGTGTACCATGGACGCGTGTAGTGATCTTCTCACAATGTGGGCATGACAGTGTTAGCACACAGCTAACCTTTGAGCTGTCAACGCATATTGGTACTTGGTTTCATCAAACGTGTTCTCCACCCGGCACACCCATACTTAGTGCTGTTAACCACTTCCATGCACATGGTCACATATAATAACAAAGGTGACCTTAAAACTTCTGATCCAACCCTGTATCCCTGGAACCAAGAAGGGAATACTATTAACCATCTGGCCACAAGAAAAGGCACAAACTGGAACTTTGAGGCACACAAGGACATGTGATCACCCTGGAATCACCCACAGTCTCATGGGATTGCTTGTTATTTTTTATGCAGATGTATCAGAAATCTCACAGACAAGCCTCTGCTTCCCTTCCAAGCAAATGCTTTTTTGCAGCCAATTCATTTTCCCACTGCTCACTGGACTTGACCTTGAGGCTTCACAACAGAAAATGGGCAGATGTGACTTGATGATAAAGCAGTCAGCCACAATTGCAGAAGTGAGGGTATGCCAAGTTTCAGCAACATTTTTTAAAAGATGTATTTCTTCTTATTGCAAAGTCAGATATACAGAGAGAAGGAGAGACAGAGAGGAAGATATTACGTCTGATGATTCATTCCCCAAGCGACTGTAACAGCGGAGCCATGCCAATCCAAAGCCAGGAGCTAGGAGCCTCTTCTAGGTCTCCCAAGCAGGTGCAGGATCCCAAGTCTTTGGATAGTCTTCCACTGCTTTCCCAGGTTGCAAGCAGGGAGCTGGATGGAAAACAGGGTTGCTGGGAGTTGAACTTGTGCCATATGGGATCCTGGTGCATTCAAGGCGAGGATTTTAGCCATTAGGCTACTGTGCTGGGCCCTCAGCAACATTGTTTAAAGGCCTGGTGGGTTCCTGGTGTCCTGAACCTCAGTGCCAAGCTGGGCCCCCAAAGAGGAGGGCCCCCTGGCTGTGCTTCCTAGGTTGGCAGAAGGCAACTCAATGGGCCATTATCTTGGGGCGTTGCGGGGGTAGCCCTGCCCCACTGACGGAAGCTCAGTCATGGATGGCAGACTCCTTTACCTCAGGGGTCCAAGCACAGCTGGAACACAGCTGGCTCTCCTCCCCCTCCCTGCTGCCGGCGGCCCTCAGCCCTGCTTGAAGGCTGAGCGTTTGCTTTCCCATCGGCCACACTGGCTCTTGGACGGAAGGAAGCAGCATGCAAAGCTTGCCTCACTTCTCCTCTGTTCTTGTGTGGGAATCTGCCTTCACAGGACTCTGCAAGATGAAGGAAGAACCTGCTGTTCTTTAGACACTAGGAAATCCTTCTGGGGTCAAACTCGGCCAAGTGCATGGTGAGGTACAAGGCTGCCAGACAGCAGTGGGCATTGTTGCTCTCTGAAGGAAAAGGTCCTGGCATTTCCTCAATGATGAGCACCACAGCTCCAGCAGGCCAGGGGTGTTCTGGAACACCAGAGAAGCCTCCCGGTGCTACGCATCCCAGAAGGCTCCTGGCAATGAACTCTGGACCTTCAGCAGGCAAAGACACAGCGAGGCTTCATGTCTGTTTCCTGTGAGGACTTCTGCAAGTGATGAGTTTGACAGGTAGATATGGACATTTCTTGAGATGAGGTCATGTACGCAGGTGCCGGGTAGAAATGAACTTCTCCAGTCAGTTAATAGTTATTGCTGCCTTTTTACTCTCACCGGGAACACGACCACTCCTGTGACTCAGGGAACAGCTGAGACAGGACAGAAAAGCACCAAGAAGGAGGAGAAGCCAACACTAAAATGCTCAGACTCCCTGTCAGGTATCCCCATCTTGCCATCCGATGGCCATGTCCACAGCAGGCAGCCCGGTGCTAAGACAGTTGATTAGCGGATAGTGGCCCATCAGGGAGTGGCCGTGGCTAGGGCAATCCCAAAGAGTCAGAGGCCAACAAGCCCTGACGGTGGTGATTGAGCAGAGGAACAGAGTCCCACACAGTGAGCAATGACTGTGTCAAGACTCCGATGTTTAGCACAGCCCTCGGATTCATAAGGAATCCTTACTGTCCACCTCTGATGGAAAAGGAACTGGAGAATGACTCAGAGAGTGACTCAGCTGATTTTGACAGCAGCAATGCATGCATGTGGACCCATGGGGGCTGGTCCTGCCCCAGCCTGACTGTGCTCCACTGCAAGGGTATCTGAACATCACGTGTGGACCCATGGGGGCTGGTCCTGCCCCAGCCTGACTGCGCTCCACTGCAAGGATGCCTGTGCTTGATGTGTGGACAAGCCATTCATGAGTGGCCAGCATAAAGGACTAGAACAAGAGCCAGGGCTCTTCCCCAGGCTCTCCGGTGCACTGTTTCCTGAGGCCGGATGTTATCATCTGCTCATGATCTCTGTCACTCTGGGCAATCATGAGTGAGCATCATGGTGTGTGGGGCAGGGGACAGATGCCTTCAAGAAGCCCCACCAAGCTTTCCAATGGGTTCATGTCTCACTGCCTGAACAAAGAAAGGTGATGGATGCTTTCTTGAGGAGTTAGCATTCTGAGGACCAGACACTCCACATCCTGCTCTGGCAGGCAGTGGGGGTCCTCTGGGGGGAACCACATTGAAATCCTAAAGAGGTCAGCTTTCTCTTTCTTGGGCAACAATACCATGAAATGCTACTTAGACCCAGAGCATTTTCCTTCATCCCTCCCAGAAGCCACACCTATGGTAGTGGTACTTTTGGGGCAAGCTCAGGATGGCAACTTCAGTAGGTATGCAGTGTCAGCAACTAACACTGTCAGAAAAACAGCCCAGACTGTGGTGTCTGCAGTTGGCCATCCCTGGGAGATGTGGAAGTGGTCTTCTGGAGGGCAAGCAATCGTGGGACAACCCTCATTGTGGCCCTGGCTCAGCTGTGTGACCTTTAGTTTGGTCATTTTTACCCAGTCTTTAGTTGTGATAAATGATCCTATAGAGAAGTACGCAAATAAGCCTCTTGGGGCCACCAAGTGGGCTATCCCTTCCGAAGCACTGTAGCCGCTCATGTGCATGCTCATGTGCACGCAGTACCCCCACCACTGGGTGGGATACTTCTTAAAAGGGATGGCTGCATCTTACTCATCTGCAGAGGCTACTGAGACCAGCCCAGAACCTGCACCAGCGATAAGTGGCGCTATCTTAATCTGTAACACTGAGGGCAATGAACAGCTCAGTGTGGCTGGGAGGTGGAGGGAGAGGAAAGAGATGGCAGAGATAGAGTGAAAAGGGAGGCTGTGAAGGACTTGACACCCCGATGCTTCTAAATGGCTTTCAGTGAAACAGTGAACAGGGATCTCAGATGCTTTCTGAGTGTATGGAGGAGGGTGGGCTGTGCAAAGAGCCTCGGGTTTTGAGCTCAGTCGCTGTGAGCTCAGTCCCAGCATTGCAGAATTCTCAGTCCTTTGAGCCAGGGCTGACTTACATATACGATGTGAAGAACAGCTTCATTTCAAGCTCACTAGGGCTTCCTAGCATTTCAACTGGCCAGCTCAGGACCTGCTATCTGTTTATTAGCATTCAGAAAATTTACTTCTCTAGGACCAAGGTGACCTGGATCATGAGATGCAAAAGGGTGTTAGGAGTTCAAGGCCAGTACCACCTCTGGACAAGAACCTATGAAATGGTGCCCTGGCCATACCAAACTGAGAAAACTTCAAGAGACAGACTGTTGTGTAAGATTCCAGAAACTGCAGTGTGCTCTATCATACCTTGCTGGCTTCTGCAGCACTCAAAGAGCCAAACGTCACCCAGCTCTCGTGTGGCAAATATCACCTGAGTCCCACAGAGCATCCCAGGGAATCCTCGGTGGCCCTGGACAACAGTACCATGTGTAAGGGGCAGAGCAGGGTGATTCATGTCAGGTGTACTAAGGAGATCACACTTGCACCAGAAGGCCAGGTGGAAGTCCAGGCACCGGGTGCAGAAGCAGGAGACCGGGGCTCTGCTTTCTGCTCCGACTCTAATGCTCTTGAAGCATTTGCAGCAGGTCCCCCAGTACTGTCTGTAACATGCAGGGGTTGGGGGCTGAGTAGTCTTTGGAAGCTGGAACTCAGTCCTGAGAGCGATTCTGCAATGTGGGGTTTCAGAGCGCACTGACTCTGAAGTGATGCAAGTCAGAGTGACCTGACAATACCATGAAAATGCTGCCCATCTTTCAGGTCCCCGCCTCCATCCGACAGGAGTATCCTGACAACCAGGGTATCCAGGCTTGTCTATGAGTCCTGCTTGCCTACAAGCTCTCAGGGGATAATATCACCCTCTGTGCCTTAGTTTACTCATGGGTCTCTTAGGATATCCAGCCCACCTCATTTCCCAGGAAGCAGTCTTCTAACACTTCACAGAAAACTCAAATCTCATTTCATTGGGACACTCTGAGGCCAGTCATAACTCATGTTCATGGTCAGAGCCAGACACTTGCACAAAGCAGGAACCTGTCACCATTCTTAGCAAGGGGACAGAGGCACCAGAACAAGGAGAGACCGGGCCACTGGGACCTACCTGCGACAGCTGGGAGCCGGCTGATCTAGGATGCTGACAACAGCACCCCCCTGGCCTGTGCAGACAAACCCTGGAGATTGGGCTGCAGACAACAATAACACAGCTGCTCTGTTTCCTGAGCTCCCTGCTGCGAGGCAAATCAGGAGGCGTCAGATCAGCATTCAGCTCTCCTTCCCACAGCACAGTGCACCACTCTCCAGGGCCCCAGGCACCCCACACCTTGTCACTGGAGAAGGCAAAGTGGGCGTAGCAGACAGGAGGCTGGAAAAGAGTAAAAGTCCCAGAGAAATCAACTACAGGAAAACGCCTGTGAGAGCCACTGCCTTTTCTCAAAATCTAAGCGCTCACTTACGGAAGAGTCCTTCCCGGAGTGAGGTCCAAGCTATCAAGTCCCAACCTTCACACACTCTCCCTAAGCCCAAATGGGTTTGATTGCGGTTTCCTGCCTGTCCTCTCTGTTCTGTAGCGACTGTTTCCACCACACATCGAGGCCAGCCTCAAGGCCTGCCTTCCCCCATGAAGTGCCGCAACGACTCCAATACCCCAGCCCACATTTCTCTCTCCCTCTCCTGAGTGTTCCAAGCACCTGCTGGCAGCACTACTCAGCACTGAGCGCCCACAGGCTGCTTCTTACCTTCTTGACCAACTTGTTTTACCAACCTCTTAGCCTTAGTTTCATCCAGCCTGGGGATTGTCCCTGCATTGTGCAGAAAAAACATTCTAAAGCACACATCTGATGAAATGTCTTCCATGCTAAGCCATTTCAAGCACTTCCCACTGCCTTTTAGATCAAAATCAAAATGCCACACAACACTGCCCACTCCTTCTCTGGGCTCCCTGCACTCAGGTCACACCAAACCACTCCCTGAGATTATGCAATGAGGTGTCCCCAGAGGCAGAATGGACACCCAAGGCTCCTGAAATCTGCCAGGACTAGTGCCAGAGGATGACAGCAAGCACATGGCATCGAACCAAGGCCAAGGTGAAAAAGTCAAGATCCACTGAGCCCTTAACGCTGATTCATTTTCATTCTGGTGATGGCCAGCCAATTCACCAAAGAGACCAGGTAGGCAAGCAGGGAGCTGGAACAAGGGCATGAGATGGCTCTTCTGCCCTGGAGAACGGGAATGGGATGATTGTGGCAGTTCACAGAAGGCACAGCTGCCATCTGGATTAAACTCCCAGCCAAGACCATTCTCCTGCAGTTCCTGAATGGCGCCCAACAGCCCAGCAGCCTTCACCCCTCTAACACCCTCTGAGCTCCTCACACCCAACATCCTGATGCTGAGCCACAGTGCTCCTTCTGCTCAGGAGCTCCTGCTCGGTGGTGCAATCCCTAAGGGACTTGCTCCAAGACCAGACTTTCCTGCTTCTGTCAGTCCTCAGCGGGACTGCAAAGAGAAGTGTTCACACAACAGAAGACAGGGAACATTCCACTGCAACTGCTGCCTGGTTACCCAAAGAGGTCATCAGAAGTGCTACCCAGGCTAATGCCTCCCTTCTACCCCTAGCACACGGGAGGGGTAAGCAGGTGGGAGAACAAGGTGCAGAAGAAACCAAGGGCACTGTGTGAACAGCAGGACATGTGAGCCCAGAGATGCCAGGACCAGTCAGTACCATCTGGTAGCAGCCAACTCTCCATGTCTCTAGAGTGCCAATTTTATATCCGCTGAGGGAGAAAAAAACACACAAGCACTCAGCAGGAAAAAAGAAGGTTCTGGTGTCTGACTGCAGGGACCCTGGAAGGTTAGGCGGCGCTGACCTAGTAAGGCATGCTCAGGCTGATAGCGCAAGTGGAAGATCCAGTGGAGCTCTCTCCATAACATCGTACTGGGCACCGAGAGCTGCTCCAGTGTGTGGGAACAGCAATTGGGTTTAGTGACAATCAAGACACAGTGTCTCCGGCAGGCTCCGGCTCCAGTGTGCACAACCTGTACAGTGCTGTCACGTGGATAAATCCAGTGGGTATCATTTCACCAGCTCCTGAAGTACAGCAAGAAGGTACCGGGTGCAAGCTGCAGCAGCCACAGAAACTCAGTCTAGACAAAATGAACGGCTAGCCCAGCAGCTGCATCCACCAAAGTCAGAGAAGAGCCATGTTCCTAAGTCACTTTCTGATGTGAACTGAAACATCTTGAAAGGTGAGGTTTTCAAGCACTCCTCCGGGAGGCAATTGTTAAAAAACACACAGCAGGCAGCCTCAGGTTCCACACATTCGAAAGCCACTTTTCTTCTTTTAAAAGACAATCTTTTTATTCCCTGAACCACTTGGGACTGAAAATACATTTAGCACAAGCTACCCAAAGTGGGGAACCAGAAGCGATGTTGGGGATGACACACGATGTTGCAGCGAGCATGGGCAACCACAGCAGGACTCAGCAGAACGCGATGCAATTCAGACACTCACAGGGAGAATGGTCAAGCTGTGCACCTGCCTACTGTGCCCGAGCCTCTGGGGCTGGAGTCCACGAGCCTTACCTGAACACTTCCCTGGAAGTGCCCCATGGGAGGCCCCATTCTGGTCCTCTCTCTGGGAGAAGCAGCGGGCCTCGATGGAGAACCTCCCTGTCTCCCAGGGAATCTGCTTCTGACCATGACCCTTGGATTCACAAAGCTCTCTAATTAAAGGCCCGAGGGCTGAGCTCATTCTAGAAGTGGCAGGACCGGGCATTTTTCAGGTCCCAAAATTGAGAGCAGATTAGTGAGGATGGTTTTGCATTTTGTTGTGAAGGAGGAGGACTGGCTCAACTATAAACTAGTCTTACTGTAAACCAGGACAAGAGGTCACCTGAGTGCCTGCCCAGCCCTGCCCTTTGTGGCCAAGGGCTGTGGCCTTCAGGCAGCAGGGAGTGGGGAGGGCAGCAGCAACCAGCCTGGTGGGGAAGAGAGATGCTCATTGCTCCATCAAGCATAGGTTCGGGGAGGTCCAGATCAGAATGTCTGTCGAGGCCTCTGCAGACTGCCTCCAGAAGTAGAACATACTGGTTACCATTCCAGGGAGTACCCAGGGCCTCCCGATGGAAGCTGCACAGTTTCCAGGAAAGAAATTTCCAAACCATTGCATGCTAGGGTGTGCCCTGCCCTGGGCTAGCACAGTCCCCTGTGAACCTCATCTGTCATTCTTTCCTCTCATCACATCCTGGCAGTGTGGGTCAAGTCCAACCGAGGCTGAGAGAAGGAAAACAGTGAGCTTACCAAACAGCTGATGGCTGTCTCTGGTTCTTTTGCTTCTGCCTTGAGCAAGTGCTTTTCTATTGTATTTGTGTTGTGCTTTCTATAGCAGCAGCCTTGTCACTGTTAAGCACTGAGAGACCCAGGCTCTCAGAGTCATCTGCTGAAGCCTAAAGCTCCGAGCGCTGGTATTTGGAGGGGCGATCCTGGGGGGAGAAGCAGGCCCTGAGGCTGCAGCTTCATGAATGAGATTGGTGGGCACTTTAGCATGGGCAGAGAGGAACCATCCAACAGCCACGGGCAAACCAGGACTGGAGCCTCAGCAGACACCAGCTCTGCCTGCTCCTCCATCCTGACCTTCGTCTCCAGGAGTGTGAGACACACGTCTGTTGTTTAAGACAGCTGGTCTTCATCTTGTGTCCTCAGAGGCTAGTGCACCAGAACTCAGGTCGCAGCATAGCTGTTTCTGTGCTTATGAATAACCCCCTGATTTATTGGATGGAGGGCTTGAGCTAGTTCGTATTAGTGAAGACCCAAATCTACGTATGCGCTTTATGAATCAACACTTGACAAAAGAAATTCATCATCAAAGCAGTTTCTCACAGCACCAGACCATCTCACTTTACTGATGTAGACATGTACTTGGAGTGCTCGGGGGCTGATCTGAGACCGCAGGGCCAGCCCCTCACAGGGGCTGCTGAAGTCCGAGTCCTGTGTTCCTGCTCCTGTAACAACCTCCCTCACCAGGGGCTGAGTGTGAGACTTATTCCCCACACCTGAGAAATCCATCTCTGCACAGCCCAGTCCTGCTGCTAACAGCTCCTGAGCTCCAAGGATGCATGAGTACGGGAAAGGACAACAAAATACAGCGTGGTGGCTGCTCCCACGGGAAGTTCAGCTGACATGGATGCCTCACCCATGAGGTGGGAATCTGGCTGGGAAAGGCTCCTGGAGTGGCTAGTACCCAGATTGAGTCTTTAATCCACATGGGGTTTAGCTAGACAAAAAAGTAGACCTGAAAATAACAATAGAACAGGGCAGTAAAAACATATGGAGTTGACCAAGCTCTTGACACAAGCAGAGATGTGTTGGGTGTGGTGGGGATGTAAGAAGATGAAGGAGTAGAGTGGAAGGGAGGAAAAGAAGCCTGGGCCATCTGGGGCGGCAGAAACTGAGAAGCCCACAGAGGACTGGAAGTTCTTGGACATGTACTTACACTCTGAGTGTGAACCCAGGCTCGACCTGCTATTCTGTCACCGACTGGGTGATGCTGTTGGCTCTGTGCTCTGCACTGTGTGTGTATCCACAACGCCATCCCTCGGTACATCGCTGTCCCTCAATACACCTGTCCCTCAGTACATCACTGCTCCAGCACCGGTGGCTTCAGTCAACTGAACTTCCCTGCTCTGTCTGTTAGTTCATCACTCAAATGGAAAACACATCATGTGCTCCCAAAGCCTGGAAGTGTTGAATGATTCAAAGGGACACAATTGGTAAAAGATCAGTAGAAATTGGAAAGATGGGAAGCCCACATTATGCAGAACACTAGCTGTGGAGTTTCTCAAGGCTGTGTTTGGAGCGCTGGGATCTGGGCAGCAGCCATCTCCAGCCACTTCCAACAGCCATAGCAGACCCCGCCTGGACAGTGTCCTGGAACAGCCTGTTCTTGGGGAACTGAGTTGTGCAATTGTCATAAGGAGACAGAGTACTGACATCCTCAGCATACCCATTTACCCCAGGCATGTTTCCAACTTTAGGTAAAAGGCTGATTTTCACAAGTTTCTTTATCAATGTTGCAGCAAACACAGGGAGGCAAAACACATTTGGTGCTCAGATGTCAAGGCAAGGACTTTACCACATAACATGGAAGCGGTGGTCAGCAGAGTTGGTTTCTAGCTCTCCCTCAGTCCTCACTCTGAGGTCTTTAACCCTCACTGAAATAAGGTAGGGCAAGTGGACAACAGGCTGCCTACCGGAATGATCTGGAATGCAGTGTGGGCACATAAAAAGTGCCCTTAATTAAAGCTGATTCCAGCTGTTTGTATCAGCACCTTCACTGGTTTCACTAGCATGGCGCTCTTGCCTAGCCGCTGGCGGGGAGAGAGCTGTGACAAACAGCAGTGGCTGTGAAGAACACTGTCTGCAGAATCGAAAGCACAGGGCATCAGTTCTCCTGGTTACAATGTCCCTTGATATATAATTCATGATAGCCTTAAAGCTTGGCCTACTTTGCAGAGAGATCATATATTCTGCAGAAATCAAGGATGGGCAGGAAGACAAACCGCTTTGAAATGGTTCTGCTGTCTGCTGTTCCGTGAGCAAAGCCAGCCAGACAGAGTTCTGGACCACTCTTTCCTACCATAAGGGCTTCCCTTTAAGAGTTTTTTTTTTTTTCCCCTTTTCTTAAATGGAAGGGGAGGCATCTCATCCAGTTTCAGTTTTATCTTCTGCCACACCGGATAAAAGATGAAGCTGACTCCATCTGTTAGCACACGCAGGCGGCAGCGGACGGTGTGAACGCCAGCACTCCCGCACGCTCGTCTTTGCAAAACAGGGAGGGGGAAAAATCCACACTTTCAAAAAATGTCTCATCAGCCATCCTACCCAATGCCGACCAGACAGCAGCACTTTTATCCTTTTATGGGCAGATTCAGGAGGAAGCCAGCTCTGCCAGCCACAAAAGCACTTCCCCATGCTTTGCCACAGGAATTGGGATGCTGGGGCTGGCTGCAGGCCAGGCCCTTCCCCCATGGCAGTGAAATTAGTGAGGATCCCCCTGGGGGCCATTACCTGCCATGTTCCAGCCCGTCCAGGCCAGAAGGCTGAAAGGCTCACAGGTTATTGAGATGATTTCCATCCTGTGGCACCATGGCCTTGTTCCCAGGGCTGGTTTTCGAGGGAAAATGAGCAGGCAGTCATTTCCTGGGTCGAGTGGGAGGGAGGCAGAGCAGAGAGCCCCCATCTGGCCACTTGGCCTTTTGCTACAGCACTGCTGGTTGGTGGCACCAAGTGTGTAATGCTTGCTGTGTCTCCAAAAGCTGCTGCTTTTGTTCAGCCATTTCTGACAATGCTGCATGTGACTCACTGGGGCAGAGCCAAGAAGAAAGTAAAGGTGGGAGGCAGGTGGGGGACCTGTAAGTTCTGGCTCTCAGGTCCCCACGATGTCCTCTTTCCAGAATGCACGAGGGGAGTCCGGAAATGCCCGTGGCTCTCTGGTTTCTTAAATGCAGGGACGGTGTTAATTATAGAGTGTCAAAAATAAGTGGGTTTCATGCCGTTAAATGAGGCGAAACTTGGAACACACAGGAATTCCATAAGGGCTGGGGTATGGAGGTAACCGGCTGGCTGGCTTGCGTCATGGGTGAGGACACTGCAAATCAGAAAGTCCCAGAGCTCCAGCTCCACATCGCTTATGTGTCACCCTCGAGGGCAATGTCCTGTAGGTCCTGCATCTGCATTATCTCACATCCTGTCCTCCTCTGTGTTCCCAAGGCCACTGCCCTATGGGAAGACCTTGGTATCTGTGTGGGATGGTTTTGCACTTACGGCTGTTTTGCATTTATGGCTCCCTTGCTGACTGGGAAATAAAGCCCAGCTTCACATTTCATCAGGTACCTGGCCCAAATCCTACACCCTATTTTATCCCCACTCCAGCACCACCTTCCTCCATCTTCTTGCCAGCACTTGCCCTTAGCTTGAAAGTGTGTGTGCCTCTATGTGAAATGTTCTCTCCACTACACCCCTTCTCAGTCGTGGTCAACCTTCCAGACCAGATTCAAAGGTCAATCCAGCTATGGACTCTACCTGGAACTCAAGAGTAAATGTCTTTGACATGGCACCACACTTACATCACTTTTTACTGATAGTCCAGTTCCCGTGTGCTGTGTTCATTACCATAGTCGACGTGAGTTCTGCATATCTGCAGGTGCTCACCTATGTTATCCAAGTGCATTCGTGAGTATATCTGCTGGACCATGGGTACAGCTCCAAAACAGTATATGTCAACACAGCATGCTGAGTAGGCAAGCTGGGAGTCAAACCAACCCATTTCCAGAATCTTTGTCTCCATTTCTACTAGATTCTTAAGCAATAGTTGACACATGTGCATCTTCATCGCTTCTAGAAAGTCCTTACTCAACCCCTAGAACAGTCTCTTATTTTTCCTGCTAGAGGCTGCTCTTGCCCTGCCCGCTCAGCTGATGCCTTCTCTTTTCCATTTCCGAACACTGACATTTCTGAGTCTCAGCCCCTCCGCCTGTCTCTGCTCTTTCTGGACTCACACCCTTAGTGATCTTGCCTTACTTTCACAGTTTGAAATGTCACCTGCATTTTGACAACTCCCAAGTTTGTACTAGCTTTGACCTCTCCCTTGCTTATGGTACCCGACCGTCTACTGCCCAGCAACACCCGAATGCCCAACTCCAACTTCCCTAGGCCCCGAACTGAACGCGTGTCCTTTCCCTCCTTTTGTCAACCACGGATTTTTTTTTCATCTCAGTTAATGACAATTCTATCTTTCCAGTTTCTTGAGTCATCTTAGCCTCTTCATTATTTCACACCCCACACCCAACCCATCAGGAGATTTCTTTTGGCTTTACCTTGAGACCAGAGCTAGTGTCCTTCTCCATTCCTTGGCCTCCCTGATGTTATCCATGCCTACTTTGGTTTGCTTTCCACTCATCAGCCGCAGTAATGCCACTCCAGCTTATACCCCCTTAAAGACATTTCTCCAGCCAGGAGCTCTTGTTCACTGGGGTTAAAGTCAAGGTCATCCCTTGCCCAGGAACCCGCCGATGGTGCCTGCTCTTCTTCCTTGATCCCCTGGGTACCACTACATTGGTTTTTTTTTTTGTTATCCCTCACATATGTTAGTACCCCAGGCTTTCCTTCAGTCTGAACCACATTTCCCCAGAATTGTTAATGCTCCCGCACTGATCTTTCAATAGCTGTTTGCTTAAATGTCTCTTTAAATGAGAACCATCCTGCTCAGCCTTTAAATTAGCACCCTCTTCTCTCATAAGCTGCTTCTCTCTGCTCCATTTATTTCCATCAATCTTTTGACTCCTAACACACTGGAAGGCAGTGTCACTGATGTAATTACCTTTACCTAAATGTTATGGCTATTGTATACGAGTATTATGTAAAAAGAATAAATAATCATCACGATTATAATACATAAATGAAAATCACTTGGATACTCTTCCCTGAAAGCTATTGTCATGGTAATATTTTGGTACCAGTTTTACCTTCTAGGGAGACACACAGCACATGGCTCTGTAGCTGAACTACTATTGTCCATCTCAGGCTGCCTCTGTATTTTCCTTTCCTTCCCAAATGCCTTAGAAGAGATTGCCATGACCAAGTCCAGAGGCATGATTAGGTGCTTCTGGGCTGATTGAAGTCAGGAACTAACTGGGCTCCAGAAGTAGCTTCCGTGGAGACCACTTAGATAATCACGTACAAGATAGCCCCAACATCACAGGGCTTTCTTTCACCTTCGGGGCCTTTTAGCAAGGAAAGGGGTCAATTATTGCCATGGGAAATAAGAAGAAAGTAGGGCAGACAAATAAAGTGGGATGCACACAGTCCTGCCACCTCCCCCACCTGCACACGCATGGCAGCACAAGCAGAGGTCAACTGTGGATTCTACTTACTGCAGGATTACAAGACTCATCAAGAAAGTGGATTAGCACAAAACTGCAAGCAGAAAAGTTGCTGTTTTCATGGTGCTGGAAATCAGGTTAGAAGCTTTGGGATCTCGGAGCATTTGCACATCTCCAGATTGCATTTCAGCAGGACATGCAGAGACTTATCGGCACAACTAGCAGGTGGCAAGTTGAGCCCCGGGAGTCAACAGTCTCCTCATTTTTCTCAATATCAGTATTTTCACAACCACTAACCTATACCACACATGTTTATTTATCTGTGCCATTTTTTAGCCCCTACACGAATCAACTCACTGATTCTCAGCTTGTGTATCTATTCCTCAAACACTAGTTCAAGCAAGAGGTGGGGTATTCTAGGCTAGTGTGATGTTATGGTGTTCGCAACCTGAGTAACCATCTCGAACCAGGTTCCTCTCCTGTTTTAGAGTCTTCGTTTCCTCATGGAATGAGCAAGGCAAACTTGAACTGGCTGCTTAAACATCTAAAACAGCTCCTTCAGTATCAGAATTGGTGCAATATGAGATGTGTAACAGACCTTCGGAACATATTGATATGAAACTGCAGGCCTGCTAAGTAAACACCACCTCACTACGGGAAGCACACACACTCTGCTCTCAGTGTGGTCATATGACTGGAAAAGGAGATGGGACACCTTGGCCTGCAACCCTTACAAGGCAGAAAGGCCTACAGCTCTATGGTGGCAAATAAAATGCATTGGACGTTGAGGAAGCAAAGATCAATGATAGCCAAGAATGTGAGTAAACCCTTTCTAGAAGAGAGGGCTGTTCAAGCAAGATGAGACTGCTACCATTTCTTTTGAAAGATTTACAGTGGGTGATCATTATTCATTAGCACCTCAATACATATTAAAGCCACATCTGATATGCCTAGCAATGCAAGAGTACAAGAAGGAAAATATGATAAGGATCCTATTTCCAGACAATTTAGAATCTAATTAGGAAGAGATCATGTGTGCGTACACATGGACATGCACACACAGACATATTCATCAGCTGTCCCTGATGACTTGTGACAAATGCTCCATGAATAATTCAGAAAGCAAGAATCATCACAACGGTAGGACAGGCCATGAAGCACGGCAGAGCGTGCAGGAAGATGTCAGAAGATAACCTGGTTGCTCTAGTTTGCTCTCCTGGAGCCTCAGTATTCCCATCTGTAAGGTGGATGGTTTACTTTAATTCAGATTTTTTCTAACCATGTAACAAAAATACGTGAGTTCATGCCCTCAGTGTGTATGTGTGTGTGTGTGGGGAGGGCGGGTGGCGGCTGGTGGGACATTTGTAGGCATTTGGGGGCAGAAGTGGCAGCACACAGAAATGACCTCTTTCTCTGAATTCACCCATTTTACTCCCTGTAGCAGACTTTCAAATGAACAGCTTAAAAAAATTCACATGACTTGTGCGATGGTTGATTTTCGGTGTCACCTTGCCTGAGCTGTGGATGCCCAGGTACTGGTTTAACAACTTTGTGTGTGTTTGGGGGAGTATCTATTGATGGAAGTTACACTTCGATTGGTAGGCTGAAGAAAGAAGATTGCCTTTCCAATCCAATTGGTAGGCTCTTTCAAAATACTGATGCCCTGAATAATATAAGACATAGAGTACAGAGCCCAGTGCAGTAGCCTAGTGGCTAAACTCCTTGCCTTACATGTACCAGGATCCCATATGGGCACTGGTTCATGACTCGCAGTCCTGCCTCCAATCCAGCTCTCTGCTGTGGCCTGGGAGGGACCCTGTACCTGCATGGGAGACCTGGAGGAAGCTCCTGGTTCCTGGCTTCAGATCGGCTCAGCTCTGTCCATTGCAATTACTTGGGAAATGAATCAGGAGGTGGAAGATCTTCCTCTCTGTCTCTCCTCTTCTCTGTGTATCTGACTTTCCAATAAAAATAAATAAATCTTAAAAAAAAAGGGGGGGGAGTACGGAAGAACTTCCTCTTTCCATCTGAGTGTCTTCAAGCTGGGATGTGCGTTTTCCTCTGCATTTGGAATTGGATTTGATGTGACTTGCTTGTTCTGGGCCTCCAGCTTGCCTAATGCAGATCTTGGAACTTTGAGGGTCCATAACCATATGAGTGAACAGCTCCAATAAATTTGTATCTATATCTAGAGAAATTTCTTCTTACTTCTCTCTCATGAAGAATCCAGACTAGCACGTGCACATACAGGTGACAGGGGATGTGTTCACTTGCTCAGGAAATGAAACCACTTCTGAGACAGCCTCCCTGTTGTAACCATGAATTGTGTTAATGCAAATTAGTGAGTGGAGATTTGGCTTCTTTATCTCATCATTTGTGATATGAAGCAGAAAAAGGAGAAAATAAGCTCAAATGCTCAATAATTCACAAGATTTGAAGCAGGTCTGAAATCTAAGCAATTTTGTGTAAGGCCTGGTCTTTGTCATTGTGAGATACCTGATTAGACAAATTAAAAAATAAGTTACCTGCACCACATACTCTTAGGAAATTATTAGAAGAGGCACAACCCACAATGGATTCTCAAAGTTAGCTCCCTTCCCCCTGGTCAGCACCCACCCTGCCTGACCCTCTGGGTGGTCTGCTAGCTTCAGCAGTTATTCCCTCCAAAACACACTCTCCCAGGGCTGTGTCAGTTATCCAAACAGAGGCCAGCATTGTGGCATAGTGCGTTAAGCCAAAGTCTGCAGAGCCAACATCCCATCTGGAAGTTGGTTTGAGTCCTGGCTGCTCTACTTTCTATCCAGTTGCCTGCTAATTCACCTGGGAAGGCAACAGAGGGTGACCAAAGTCCTTGCTGTCCCTTCCCCCCACCCTGCCACCACCCATGCAGGAGAAGAAGCTCTTGGTTTCTGACGTCAGTGTGACTTAGCCCTGGCTGTGTGGCCATTTGGAGACTGAACAAGTGGACAGAAGACCTTTTCCTCTCTCTGTAATTCTGTCTGTCAAATAAATAAATCTTAAAAAAAAGTTACCCCCCAGGGTTTCTTGTTTTTCTTTCTTTCTTATACACTCCTCAGTTTTGTTCGCACAGGGCTCACTTCGCCCTCCCTCCCCACACTTCTTTACGCACCTCCCCTTGGGTTGCTTCCTCTGTGCCACCTGTTACTTCCCTTGCTCCTAGCTGTATGTCTTCTCATGCCACTCATCACTGGCTCATGGTACACACAGCTATACCCACCCCCTTAGTTTGGTTTGTTTCTGGAACCCAGTAGGTGCTTAATAAACATCTGTGAATCAGGGAATGAATTATTGAATAAATGCATGAAGCACACCCAGTCCTCACAGCCCTGTTGCCATGGCACACGCTCCATCATGGGAAAGATTGGCACTCACCCTTGGGTAGAAGTTGACAACAGGCCTCACGCAGTGGGCTGGCCAGGCTGCAGGAGCCCTGAGTCTATGTACTCCCCATATGGCCAGTGGAGGTTCTGGACAGGGGTCGCCCACATCAGAATCGAGATCTCCTTCAGCCATATATAAAGGTTTTCATAAATACAAATCTTCACTCAGATGGGGAGATAAAGTGTGCCCAGAAAGCTTGATCAGGTCATCACGCAACTGACCACTTTCCTATGCCATGTGGTGATGGGAGTAGAGAGGGTGCTAATTTTGTCCCTAGACTTACCTGCACTACAATCTGAGCCAAGTACTCATGATCCTGAGTCCTGATTCCCCTGCCATAAACAGTAAGATGTCATTCCTAGGTCTGTTGTGAAGCAGGCAGATACTATTACAGGTGGAGAATAAGCCTGGAATCCCCCGTCTGTCCCTGAATGACGTGCATCTGAGAGCTAAACACAGCGTGTTCCCCACTAGCACTGAGCATTCCACATGTCAAAGGGAAACCTCAACCACAGCAGGTGGTGCATGACGTTAAACCCCCGCCTGGCACACCTGCATCTCAGGTTGGAGCACCAGCTATTTCAGTTTTGGATTCAACTTCTTGTTGATGCACCCCAGGAGGCAGCACGTGATGTTTCAAGTACAAGGACTCCTACCATGCAAGTGGGAAAGAGATGAAGTTCTGGGCTCCTAGCTTTGGCCTGGCCCAGGCTTAGCTGTTAGGGATATTTCAAAAGTGAACCAGTGGATTTGAACTGTAATATTGCAACAAGGTGGAGGAATCCACCATTGGTGGAGGACACGGGGAAGGGTTGGGGCAATCCCAGAGCCTATGAAACTGTGTCACAAAATGAAATGTAATAATAAATAAATAAGTAAATAACAAAAAATTCTGAAAATGAGATATTTTCCAAGCAGAAGAAAATCTTGATGAATGTCAATTTCCAGAAAGACTTGGATTTTCTCTTTTTGTAGCTGAAGAAATTTTTTGCTGAATATTAAATGTATAGAAATCAGAATTATTTTCCTGTACCAGAATAAAGCTTTAGTTACCACTAACATTTCAAACAAAACTATTCTTCGTCAAAACTGAGGAAAAGTTCAACTAAATACTGAACAGAGTTGTTTTTATATTTGAAAAATTAAGTTAAGATTAAAGGTATGGAAAGAAAAAAAATAGTGAGCCAGTGACTGGAAGATGTATCTTTCAATCTCTCTTTCTTCTTCCATGCCTTTCAAGCAGATGAAAACACATATTTGTTTGTTTTCCACAGAAGAATTACGTGTTGGTATTTCTAAGTTTATAATGCTGCTCACATGGCCTCTCAGAGCCTTATCTGATCTCATGGAAGCAGATAACGATGCTGTGTGTGGTTCCCAGGATATGAGGTGTGGAGAAACGGCCTCCTGCTGTGTGGGTCACCCGCCAGCACCAGGCCCACCTCTGTGTTGGAAGCCTTCCTTGGAATCCTGTGAGCTGCCTAGCCGAGTGGAACACAGAAGTGCATCCTGAGATGATGTCACACACAGAGACCACCACCCCACCCCCGCCCAGGCATCCTACAGACTGGCTCTGCTGTCCCACCAGATATCCCATAGATGGAGTACAGAGATGGACAATGGTCCCTTGGATGCTCCTTAGGCTTCTCATAAGCATTGATTTGATGTTGGAAACTCCAGCCTAAATGCCCACCTAAGCAGATGCAGGCCGATGGCAAAAGCTGACCTGAGAGGTACTGCCTCACAGGAAGCCCACCTGGTGCTCCTGGCCATCCAGGCTCCCAACACTTGAGGTGTGTTACTTCACTTCACCAACGGTTTACAGCACCCATAAAAGGAAACACTTCCCCATCTGGAAAAGTAAATAGCAAAGCACAGAGGGATTGTGCATTGTGGCCACGGCCTCCCAGCAGTGGACAGAGGAGGGGGCTCAGGTGGTCTTACGTGTCTGAGAAAGGCTCCCTCCACGCGTGGAGTATCTGCCACACCCACTGTACGGCCGGGGGCTTTGGCTTGGTATGCTGGCAAGTTGGTTGTCTTTTCTCTAAATGAGGCTGTCATTACTCCAAGGAAGACAGGGCAGGGAAAACAATAGTAATGGGAGATATGTAACAAAGTATTTTTGGACAGACCCAAAGAATGATGCAATGGTCCAAAGTGGGATGCCAAGAACATTGCTCATCACCTATGTTGGCAACCTTGAATTCGTTTTGTCATTGAAGTTCTCTCATGAGATGACAGGAGTCTAAGCATAAGCTGGAAGATGGTTTCAAAGATGTGAAATTAAGAAACAGATGGATAAATCTGTTTATCTTTCTCAAGTGCAGTTGAAATGAATGCATTGCCAAATTTTCTATTCTTAAACAGACTGCAGAGACTTTAATTACACAGTGGTCTCTGAGGATACACTGGGCATGGGTGCCAGGGCTTCTGAAGATACCCACATTTCTGGAAGCTCTAGTGCCTTACGTAAAATGACATAGTGTTTGCCTGTAATCCACAACGCCTTCCTGTACCCTTCAAATCACCTCTAGTCTACTCATAATATCCAGGATAACGTAAATGCTCTGCAAACAGTTATTATTCTGTATTGTTTACCAAACAATGACAAAACCAAAAAGTCATCTATACATGTTCACATGTTCACTCTGTGCAACCACATTAGAACCAACTGCATATTGCATGCCAGCAACAATGGAATTGAAACAAACACATTCCATCCTGTGGACAGGGAGGGCTGACCACATTTGATGGCGTGGATCCAAGAGTGTTGACTTGGCTGTGGCCTGTTTTCTCTATAACAACCAGTATGTGCTGACTATCCACCACTGACCAAGCAGCGTGCTAGCTTGTACGTTTACAAACATGCGGATAAATGACACAAAATTTCTTCCATTGCATGGAGTTACAACATTGACCCCAAACCATCGACACTAGATGCAAGTTTAGGCCGTAAAGTACCATCAAATATTATTCTACCAACAACAGAATGTCCATTGCATGTTCCATAGACTTGAGTATATTGTCTCGACTGCATTATTTTCCAAATAATTAGAGAGCCTTGCTGGTTTCTAGTATGTGTGACTAGCCTGTATCATCCACTCTTCAATGCAACTGACACAGGAGAATGTAACTATTATAAGACCTGACATTTGTCCAGTGCAGCGAAAAGAATGTAAGTAGAATAAAGAATATTGCACCAAGCACAAGCTTCAAGAAGACCTCAAGCTTCTGCCACTTGGTTCACTCTCTTCTATCACAAATGTAAGACCTTCCAAAAAGCAGTGGCCTCCACAGCTAGACCCCGGGAAGAGAACAGAGCAGGCCC